CGGGTGTAGCCACCACCCTTCTGTTTTAGAACCCCAATTGACTTTCATGTYTGYTGCTAATGAAAACAGTTGGATGACTTGTGTCAGAGCATGGAGGCTTTGATCATCCGCTTTAATAAGCACTGTGAGGTCGTATGCAAACAACGATGTAATCGGGATGAGGTGTTCCAGCAGCTCCGGCATGGGGATTCTATGAATCTGAGGGTGGGCTCTAATAAGTGCAGCCAAGGATTCCATGACTATAACAAAAAGCAGGGGCGCTATGGGGTCACCTTGTCTGACCGACCTCTGAAGTCTGATCGGAGTCGCCAAATGGTCATTTAACGTGATGTTTGTAGACGCTGACATGTGCAAGAGTTGCACCCACTTTGTGAACACCGGGCCAAAATTCATCCTAATCAGGCACATATCAAAAACTCCCAGTCAACGTGGTCGTAGGCCTTCTCAAAGTCTATAAAGATAACAGTTGCCTGGACCTTTCGTTGACGGGCGTACTTAATGGTCTCATTGACCAAAAGGATATTATCTTGGATGTTGCGATTGGGCATGAAACCTGACTGATCGGGATGAATCAAGAAGTTCATAAGCGGTAATAGTCTCCTAGTAAGAGTCTTAGCCAGCAGTTTGTAGGGGACATGAAGGAGAGTTATGGGTCTGTAGTTTCTGATTTCCTCTTTGTCCCCTTTTTTATATAGAAGGGTAGTGAACCCTTGTCCGATCATTTCCCCAAATGAGCCTTCCCTTTGCACCGCTCCAATGTATTCCAACAAGTCCTCCCATAGCAGGTCCCAAAACTGCACCCTAAATTTTTTGGGGAAGGAGTCTAGCCCTTGTGTTTTCTCGTCTTCCATGTCTTGCAGGGCTTCCCAAACTTCCTATCGGGTTATAGGGCTGTCTAGTCCTGCTCTTTAGGGGGGGGGTGAGTTGAGTTTGAATCGCTTGCAATAGTTGTTCCCTCGCCTGGTGGACCTGGTTAGAGGGTTTGAGGGGCGTTTCTGCCGTGAACAACTTTTGATAGTACTTGGAGGCATAGTCCACTATGTTGTACGCATTGGAGGCGACCGGGGCGTTAGGTTCAAACGGGTGCTTAAGTCGAGGGACTGTATTTGCCCTCGCCCTTGCTTTGGCTTTGCTAAAGAAGGTTTTGGTCATTGTTCCTTCTGTGTGGTTCCTTTTGATTTTCGCCTGAATTCTCCATGCTTGCGTTTGTTTGTCGATGTAGTCTTGGAGGTGGTCCATCGCGTTTTGCAGTTCCTGAAAGGTAGGTCGGTTTAGGGGGTCCTCCATAAGTCGTTCATCCCAATCCTCGAGTTGACCGATGAGCTTCAACGAAAAAATTTCCCAGAATTAAATAATCATTTTATACTAAAATTACAATATAAATGTCAAATTTTTATTCAATCTTTAAAAATATCATTCAAATTTTAAAATTTTTAATCTTACTTGCAAACTTTCATTCCAAGAATAGGGTAACCCTTCTTATTTGGACTGCATGCTAGAGATGGAATGAAAGTCTGGATGAGTTCATGAAATATTTTAATTGGATTGTCATTCTAAATAAGGATTTTCAGACATAAATAGGTTAATCCAATCTAAATTAGACGATATTTATCGTAGTATAATGAAATTTTAATTACAACATTTCATAAAATCGTCCAGACTTTCATTCCATCTTGAACAAATAGATGTAGTTGGAAGGGAAAACTCATATTTAGACGGGAACTTATCAAATAAAACTAAAAAGTTTAGAATTGGATGGACATTGGAATGATAATTTATAAATATGAAGGATTGTTTTTTTATGGAATGTTTTTCAAATTTTATTTCTCGTGGTAATTTTTCTGTTGTTCTCGAGGACGGCCTTACGATCTCTCGCGTGTTGGATGGAGAATTTCTTGGCGCGTTCTCGGAGTTGTGCCACACCGTTATTGAACCACTCAACCCTGTCCCCTGA